TACGAATTAGTTTTTGGTAAACCCTGTGAAATACCAAGTAGAATTTTTTCTAATATAGAACCATTGTACAATCCTGATAACTACAGTTTAGAATTAAAATACAGGTTACAAGTAGCTAATAGAGATGCCAGAGAAAACTTGTTAAAGTGTAAAGAGAAAAGAAAACAAATTTATGATAAAACTGTAAATCAAATAAAGTATAATCCAAATGATATGTTGTTAGTAAAAAATGAAACAGGAAATAAATTAAAACCTTTATATGACGGCCCATATATTGTAATAGAAGAACAAGAACCAAATGTAAAAATCATGAAAAATGGAAAAATTGATGTTGTTCACAAAAATAGAACAAAATTATTTGTTAAAGATAAATAAATTTTATTATGTAAGCTTAATTTAAGTACATTTAATCTTTACATGATTAAGGATTTAGCATTTAACATTTATGTTTGGCAATTAGCTGTAAGTTCAAAAAAAAATGTAATCTTTAGATTTAATTTTTTTTTCTTTTACCCCGGAGGTGAAGTGGGGTATACCTTATTGTAGTTAGTAGTTAGTGGGTCAGATTAAAGAGCACCGTGAAACGAGACAGACGTATTGTTTTATTTTACACTAGCTCCCCACACCTCACTGCAAAGTGGGATCACATTGTCGAATTGTATAAAAAAGATGGTGTATATGATGGCATTAGGGTTTTTTTTATAATTTTACAAATTAGTTCTCCACGGACTCTAGGTCCGTGCCCTTGTCATACAATTTTTTGTTATTACAATACGTCTAATCTATTTTTATAAAGTAAAGAAGGTACCTAATTACATACTACAATTAATCACATCTACAATTATTACTAAAAGTATAAATTACATAATAATTGGGCATTATCTATTTATATTTATTTCGATGGCTCTACGAAGTCAGCCCACCAACAAGATGGGAGAGCCGACCTGACCCAGCAGAAGGCACCCGTTCACGAGTATGACGTGTGTGTCAGCAATTGGTCCGATCAACCTTTTTATTGGGAACGGAACAACCCAACACACAGCGCCACCAACTGTAGGACATTTATGTGTGCATGACGCCTCAACCCTTGCTACGTTAGCCGACTTCAATAAAGCCTACAATAGTCCAAAAGTCAATAGGTTATTTTCTATATCTTCATAATGGCATTAGGTTAATACCTAAATTAACAGACAGACATGTGATCCCACATAAAATATCCAAAATGAAGGTAAAATGTGCTACGCAAATATTCAGCCGGACTGTAGCTGGTTACTTGGGATCACTAGCTTGTGAGTAAAATATCTTTTGTTTATACTTATACAAGATGTAACTGCAGTTTTACCCAAGTAATAGAAAATCATCCTAAGGGAACATACTCCCTGAATTAAAAATTGTCCTATGTGAATTTGCTCAATTTTTAAAATTAATTGTTTTTGGTGTTCATTACTCTTTATGAAACTGTAGTCTATCACTATTGATAATATAGTTTTTATGTGCAATAGATTATTAATATCAGGTTTTTTTCTTAATATTGTCATAACAACTGAATATTTGAAAAACATTTTATTAATTTAAGTGATGGGATATGTGAGGGATGTTTTACTTTTGAAATATTCCCTAACTTTTATTTCGCTTTCACTGCAGTCTTTTAAGGACTGTATAGTGATGCTTTACAGCTACCGCACTACGAAGTTTACAATATATTCAAGATTATCAATAGTGTGTAACCAGTTTTTAATAGAGGGTACAGTAACTGTTTTTGCATTCATTTTCTTAAAACTCATTGAGGACAAAACCTTATGATGAAAACGACGAAATACAAAAATTAGCACTTATATATTGTACGAAAAGACTAAAGAAATAAAAAAAATATTTATATTATCTACTTCGTGTTATTTTGATTCCCAATTACTATATTTAAAACAAAGTAAAATAAGAAATGAACTATTAGTTAAGTAAGTCTGTACTGACTTTACAGTAGAAAAACCGCACAAATAATTTAGCCCGGCTAAGAATGCAAAATATCCGTATGTGGTAAGCTCAAACACTGTTAACCGTGATTTTGAGAAAATAAAGATTTTTATTATTATTATATTTACATATATTTATTTAAAATTCTCTATAAATTACATTTTTAAACACTACTTATAAAATAAAAATAATATTTAAAAATATAAAAAATAGGAGCCGACCAGTAGCGGGAGCATGGTCCAAGCTACCGGTGGTTAGGGCTCCAGAGACAGAAACCTCCTCACGATACGTGCCGTTTCTAGGAGAACTGCCTTCTGTATCAGGCCCTTGATCCATCCACCTAACGCCAGCCTCCTAAGATGGATGTCGAGGCTTTTAGGGATTAACCCATTGGCCGACACGACTATCGGCACAATGATAGCCGAATCCACACTCCACATGTCGACAACCTCGTGAGCTAAGTCTAGATATTTTATTTGTTTATCTTTCTCAGCTTTCACGAGGTTCTCGTCATGGGGAATGGTGACATCGATTATCATCGTGCGGCGTACTTGTCGGTCTATCACCACTATGTCAGGTTTATTGGCTACAATAGTCCTGTCAGTAATGATAGACCGGTCCCAGTACAATGTGATATGGTCATTTTCCAGAACTGGGTCGGGCACATACTTGTAGTACGGTACCTCAGATTCAACAAGTCGATAGTGTAAAGCAAGTTGCTGATGGATAATCTTGGCTACTTGATTATGCCTATGCAAATATTCACTGTTAGCCAAACGACCACAACCAGAAATTATATGTCTAATGGATTCACCAGGACTATGACATGCCCGACATATGTCAACCGTCCCATCCTTAATTATATATTTCCGATAGTTATTCGTAAGGATAACTTCGTCCATTATTGCACAGACAAATCCTTCAGTTTCTCCAAAGAGATTACTGAATCGTAGCCAAGATACGGACGCTAGAAAATCTACATTGGGCCCATGAAGGGCCCGGAAGAAGCGTCCGTGGAGCTCCTTGCTATGCCATACCTCCTTGCGATCATTGACGCTCAGTACCACAGGTTTGCGCCAGTTCTCTTTTGCCAAGGATAGTGGAGTGAATCCATTGTCCACTGCGGCTACTTCTCGATGCATACCCTCGTTGACTTTCAGGAAATATTCCCTGAGGTTGCACACCTCACGGTTGTGAAGGGTCTTAGCATTTAATAAGCCTCGACCACCACACTTCCGCGGGATGTACAACCTCATGACCGACGAACGAGGGTGATGCATGCGATTTGCAGTTAGCAGTGTCCGGACTCGCCTATCCAGGGTGTCAAGTTCAGTCTGAGTCCACTTGAGTATACCAAAAGAATACATTAGGACTGGCATGACCCAACCGTTAAAGGCTCGCACTTTGTTTCCGCCTGATAAGGAACTTTTCAGTACCCTATTCAGACGGCCAAAGAAGCGCTCCTGTAACGATTGCTTCATGTCCGGTCCATTAATGCCTAATCCTTCTGACATACCCAGGTACTTGTATGTATCGTTTGCGGAGAGTGATCTCAGCTTTGTGAAATCTGAGAGTTCTAGACCCTCAGATTCCACAATCCCTCCTCGCTTTACATGCATGACCGCACACTTGTCTACTCCAAACTCCATTCTGATGGAACTACTAAATTTTTCAGTTATATTCAGTAGTTCCATCAATTGTTTCTTGTTTGGAGCAAACAACTTGAGGTCATCCATGTAAAGTAAGTGGGATATAACTAGACCCCTTCTCCGCAAAGGATAGCCTAGCCCTGAATCCTCCAGTAGAGTACTTAGAGGATTCAAGGCCAAGCAGAACCATAGTGGGCTCAGGCTGTCACCCTGGAATATTCCTCGTACTATCCTTACAGGTTCTTCATTCCCTTGGATTTGTCTACATCCCGGATAGCAAAGCACAGTGCTCCACTGCCTCATACATGACTCCAAGAAGGCGCGTAAAGTTGCATCTATTTTATACAACTCCAGCACCTTCAGGAGCCATGTATGTGGCACAGAATCATATGCTTTTTTGTAGTCTATCCAGCATGTAGACAAATCTTTTCGGGACCGACGAGCCTGTTGGCTAACAACCATATCAATGAGGAGTAGCTCCTTAGTTCCACGAGACCCCTCCCTACATCCATTTTGAGATACAGACATGATGGAATTTTTTTCAATATGTTTTGTTATTTTTGTCCTCAAAATGGATGTAAGAAGTTTATAGACCGTTGGTAAACATGTTATTGGTCTATAATTTTTGGGCTCAGTGGAACTACCTGATTTATGGAGCAGGTGGGTAACTCCTGTTGTTAGAAATTGTGGTAACGACCCAGTTTCCAAAGCTGCCTGGAAGTGTAATGCTAAGCGAACGTGTGAACTTTTGAGCCATTTAATCCAGAAATTGTGCAGTCCGTCCGGCCCCGGTGATTTCCAATTCGGGACCGAACAGGCTGCACTGGCTACATCAGAGGAGGTAATTACTACCTCCTCCATCTCTGGTATAGTCTCACACTTTCGCTTAACATTATATATTATATATTATTATTATATATTATATATTATTATATATTATTATTATATTATTATTATCCTTATGATCTCTTTACTGAAATTTGGGATCAACAGGTAATGTAGGCTATTGCCTCGGAGACAAACAGATACGCCCAGCAGGTGGCATTTCAGATGTTGGAAAGCGGCAATCTCCATCCAGGAGCCGAATCGGTCAGTGGACCGACACGACCGTTGACGAGCTATTTATATTTCGGTCTGCTTCTGGCGATGGGGATTGTCGTTATGACAAGACTCAGTGAGTATTGGAATGCCACCTGTGACGCATATGTGAGACCAGGGTTTAGTGCACACATGTCTTTCGATCGGTTTACATTGCTATCAAGATGCCTGGGGATACAAGTCTGGGCCAGGTGTGATTCAGAAACTGGATATTTGTATCAATTTAATGTTTACATTGGCAAAAGTGAAACTCAAGAAGATGGTGACGGAGGACTTGGCTATAAAGTAGTTATGGAATTATGTAGAACAGTTGAAAGTGGTACCTTCGTAGTATTTGATAACTTTTTCACAAGCCTACCTCTGTTAGAGATGTATCAGAAAGGCAAATTTTTCAGGAAGGAATGGAAACTTATCGCTGACTTCGAGTTTACGACGTTAGCGACAATTACGTGTGGCGTCTTTTAAATCGCGAAGGGCTTCATCATTACCATTCCACCAGGGTACAGGAATTACGCGAACACGATTACGCAGTAAGACTCACGTTTGGTCGTTGTCTAAGAGAAAAACACCGCAGTCCGCAACATTCTTTGGACTGACGAGTCCACGTTCACACGGGTTGGTATGTTCAACATACATATTGCATAGTATTGGACTGATGCAAATTCTCTGCAACCGAATTTTAGGGCCAGTCTTTTTGGATAGACTGAACGGAGACACATATCTGCGCATACTACAAACTCGTGTGAGAAGAATGTCGGAGCGTATTCCTCTTGAAAATTTAAGAGGGCTGTTCTTCCAACATGATGGAGCACCACCTCATTTCGCACGGTGTGGTATGGCGGTGACCGGTGGATAGCCAGAGGTGGCCAAGGCCTCCTCGCTCGCCGGATTTAAGCCAAATGTACAGTATACAGAACTTGATTATATTTTAAAGAAATAAACCTGTTCGTTTCAAAAGGTAACATTTTTTATTCAGTGATTTTCAAAAGGTGGTTTTACAACTCTATTATAAACAAATAGTAAAATTTGCTTAGTGTAGCGTAGTGTATATTCAAAAGGTGTCATTTGAAAAAACGTCTTTATAAATAGTTTTATATGCATCATGTAGTTACAACTGACACACTAGTTTATACATATTTATTTTCTTATAAGACAATAAAATGTATTAACGACACTTTTTATTCTTGAAATAAAAAGGAAAGCTTCTCGTCCTTATAGTTAATTAATCACGTTATTCTGTATCATGTGTCATCATCATCGTCATTATATATTTCTTCATCTTCATTATTTACTAAAATGTATACCGCTTCATTTTCATTACTTACTTCTCCATCTTCTTCGTTCAATTCTTCATCTTCATTGTTCATTTCTTCATCTTCATCTACATTGTTCATTTCTTCATCTTCATTGTTTGTTAATTCATCTTTAAACTTGTAGAGTGATTGAGAATGAGGAAGGCATGAATTAAAAGTTCGTCTAACGTAATTGTAAGCTTTTGGAGAATAGCTGTTAAGGGTCAGACAAAATTTTTTCATAGACGGTGAATAACTAAGTTTCTTGTTTAACTTTTTTCTATTGTAATTATTAAAGAGGTCTGCAGCTACGATGTTTTCGTTTAATCTATTAAAAAGATCTGAATCAATAAAGTTATTTTTTTTAAGGGGTATTAAAATATTATTTAAAGCTTGGTTCTTATCAGATAGACGTCTCACTTTTTGGTTTAAAACTTTTATTTTCTTCTTTTGCGTTTGCAGCAAAGTACGCATTTTGTGCAGCTTCATCATCATGTAATGTTTCTCGCGAATAAGTTCCGCCGTTGGTGGTTGTATAAGAGCAACTGGTACCGGCGAGTTGTCTTTTGTTGCATCCTGTAAAAATATTGAACATTTTAGCTGTTGATTGTAACATGCCATGGTTATTAATTTTTAAGAAATCAACACTTAAACACACCACTTGCGGAACAATATCGTAACGTTCTTCAGCTGGTTCATTTGTCGGAAGTTGAATAGGAGGTGGAATCTGAAATTAAATAACATTAAATTAATGACGACTTGATAAAAAAAAGATAAGGACTATAGGTAATTGTTATAGAGGTATTTTAATAAAAACTTACAGGATGTAAGAGGGGTGTATCATCTTGAAATGAAGTCGGTTCCAATTTAATTTGTGAGCTAGATCCTGACGTAGTTGCTGATTCAACAGCTAATGGGTCCTATAATAATATAGAAATAAGATAAAATATTACAAACCCATAATTTATAGTTAAGCACAGGTAATTGTTATATTTTCATAAAAACTTACTGGATGTAAGAGGGGTGTACCATCTTGAAATGAAGTCGGTTCCAATTTAATTTGTGGGCTAGATCCTGACGTAGTTGCTGATTCAACAGCTAATGAGTTCTATAAAAATATAGAAATAAGATAAAATATTACAAACCCATAATTTATAGTTAAGTAATTTGCTAGTTTAGCCTGGGATGTTTTCCAGTAGTGTTGAAAATCGGCATTTGGTAGATTTTATGTGCTCTTTCCGATTTCCATTTTGCAACTTCCTACGTGCGCCGAAACAGGAAACCTTGTTTCACGTCGTTTTCTGTGAAGCCGTAGTACCACTCCGGTCGAGCCGGCCCATTCGTGCCGAAGCATGGCTCTCCCACACTTAGCTCTTAGCTGTTTCTGATCAATTGCACAGTGTGATTACATTAGACGTCGCAGACCAAAATTTCTGCGATTTGGCAGACTGATTACAAGCAATTTCGTTTAACACTTATAGATATGACATATCGATGGGTGCCCAGTGCTCTGGCACCAAAACTACATATTATATCACAAAAAATTGTTTAGACATTAGTTGTACAAAATTGAATCTAGTTTAATTTTGCAGCTAACTTTCCCTCGTAAGAATAGGAAGCGATATTGAAATTAAAGTGTTATTGGCCGCCATTTTTCCGACAGCGGCGCGAAAAGTGCATGTACAACATTGCAAAATGGAAATCGGAAAGAGTACAATCATTTGATATCAGTAAACATAAACTTACCGGTTGTAAGATGGATGATTCATCTTGAGGTAAAGACTGTTCCAATTTAATTTCTAGCTCAGATCCTGAGGTTGTTGCTGATTCATCCACTAATGAGTTCTATAATAATAAAGAAATGAGATAATTTATCACAAAACCTTAAATAAAACATATTCGACGTGGTCGCAAGTGCGACTACTAGACAAGGGGTCTCGGGTTAAGTAAACGATTTTCTCGTAAGATGCAAAAGAAAAGATGTTAAAAAAAAATACTTATTGCCGCCATTTTTTGAAGATAGCAGCGGTAGCGGTCCACGTACAAAGTTGCAAAATGAGAACCAGAAAGGGCAAATCAAAATTTGATATTGGTGATCATAAAAACTTACTGGTAGTGAGAGGTGCGTTTTATCTTGAGATGAAAACGGTTCCAATTTAATTTGTAGCCTAGATCCTGGCGCAGTTGCCGATTCAACCACAACTGAGCTCTATAATAATAAAGAACCAAGATAAATTATGACAAACCCACAAGTAAAACATAATATTCTAAATAAATTTGTACTTTTATGTTTAATTCCTAGTAATAGCATAATAAGACAGCCTCGTTGGCCGAGTGGCCGCAGGTGCGACTGCTGGGCCTCAAGTTCGTTTCCCGAGTTGTGCAAAGAATTACTGGCTTTTTAAAAATTATCAGTAGTAGCACGGAGTCTGCAATTGTGTGTATATGGCAATATGCTCACCCCCTATTACATTACATGGGACTGTGCCGTAATGTACACCTCTGCCTACCACTTCGGCGTTATTTCATTTCAAGTAATAGCATAATATCAAATGAGTAGTTACGTACCTCTTGAGATTCGGTGGAATTATTTATTTCTGCGAATAGTCCATTTTCAATACTAGGAGTCTTGAATAAAAACTAAAAAATAAATAATTTTGAATTAGAATCATGTTTATGATATGACAATATATAAAGCTTTTTTTTATAATGAGGATGAGCCCCTATTCTGCTATGTCGCGAGTACGTTTTTTTTTCTATATTTGATGGGCCGACGTTTGGCCACTGTCTGGTGGTAAGCAAAGATGTGCCATGTGTGGTATGTATAATTATGAGTCATACACACATGTCGCCCAGACCCGGAACAACGATTTGTGGATCACACTAAGAGTTGTTCCGTGAAGAAATCATACCCGCGAAACGTTGCACGACAACCTGTTGCCTAACCACTGGGGCAACCTTGTAGTCAACACACAACTATTGCTTAGGGTCTGGGCGGCAAGTGTGTATGACTCATAATTATACATATACCACACATGGCATATCTTTGCTTACCACCAGACAGTGGCTAAACGTCGGCCAGAAAATCTTACTGTGGGCCAACGTTTTTTTAAAGAAACAAAACAATACCTTCGTTGGTACGGCATAATTGACAACGCGAATAAGTCCTCCTTTAGTTTTATATAAATCACTTTCCTCGAAATGTTCACTGCAGATTACAGTACGTTTTGAAGGGTACCAATGTTGTTCATTTCTGCTGTTTCTTATTACTTGTATCCAATCATTCACCCATACTTCATTTGAATAAGGAAATCTATTAAACATAAATTTATATTTTTTTATTATTTACTACTAAAAAATATTTGTTCAACTTTAGGGTAAATGAAGGTTATGCAACATCAATTAATTGTTATGTTTTTCGCCTTACTCGCGTAATTATTTGAGGAGCACTAGTTTCAAGCCATGCTAGAGGCTCATATTCATGAGCAGCATTCCGCGATGCGCGACGCGGTGACTGTTGCGCTGCTACTGAGTAAGGCGAGAAAGCCGAAAAACATAATAATTAATTAAGTATGTCTCACGAAAGTTATAACAACGTCGATTGTTTTGGTATACTTTTGATGAAATGATACATTTGCGATAGTAAGCAAAATATTCGATGCCTTCCGGCCAAAAGGGGGTAAGCGACATTTTTGGTGAAATCGACTTAGACATGTGGTTAGAATCGGCTTTTTTCTGCGTCCAGCCATATGAAAACAGTAAAACGACGTGAAGTAACGCTTGCGTTGTGTTCCGTCGTGTGTGTGAGGTTACCGAAGGCCCAATTACCCTCCTCCCCTTCCCCAATCTCCCCAATTCCTGAATCCCCAATGAACCTCAAACTCCTCATCTCTAAAAGGCCGGTAACGCACTTGTAACGCCTCTGGTGTTCCAGGTGTCTATGGGCGAAGCCAATTGCTTACCATCAGGTGATCCGTCAGCTCGTTTACCGGCTTATGCCATAAAAAAAAAAAACAAAAAATGTCTCTTACCGGAACCTTTTGGCCGGAAGGCATTGAATGTATGTTACATGCTTACTTATGAAATGTGATCCCCTGATCTTTTCTTTTACAACCAGTGCGGTTTTTACAGGATTTCACCACACACGTCATCTTTACTAATTTTTCGTGGACATCTAAACTTCATCGTGGTGCGAAGTTAAATTACAGGCGGCTGGCCTTATAATATATCAATGTTTGGTGTTCTTCGTGTCTGTCTGAATAACTATGGAAGCTTCTGCTGATGTTTCAAATACTACGTCGTCCTTTTCAACGTCCTAAAAAAATTAAACCAAAATAATAAAGCTCTCCATGCTCTTTAGCAACTGAAAGCAAAAGGATAAGCAATTTTTAAATGTATATAAAAATATATTAACACATCCACTGCATCTACACATATAATAAAATCGTAGGATAGTCAAAACTAAAAAAATACTTGTGGTGATCTACAATCGATATCGATCAATTCCAAAAATATAGTTTTCAGAATTTTGTCTTGTTTGTCTGTATATATTTCCGGGCTAAACTCAAAAAGAAATGCATGGATTTACTTTAAATTTTGCATGAATATTAAGTAACAAGTTGGGCAAACAGATATGTTTGCTGTAAATATTTGATAGGTTAGTTTTTACCGCGGGAAAACTTATCCAACGTCGCTATTCCACGCGGATGTAAATACGCTGCAACAATAATCAAAATAGAAACTGTTGGTCAGTCGAAAAGGAAGAATACTCTTGGCCTATTGATTTAATTTATATTCTATGGAAAACGGCGTTGGTTAGACATTTATTTAAATTACCATGTATAATTTTTATAAATCATGTAATGTGTCACTGTTTGTCCTTCCCAAATAAATTACATTAAATAAAGTTGTCTTATTTATTTTCTTATAATTTAAAAAATCTAAAGAGTTTGTTTGTTTGTTTAAACGCGCTTATCTCCGGAACTGCTAGTCCTATTTTAATAATTCTGTTGGACAGTGGATTCATAGAGGAAGAATATTATAGGCTATAAAACATAAGCACGGCTATGAGCAGTGTAGCAGGCGAAACCGCGCGCAAGAAGTTAGTACCAAATAATTAAGACAGAAATTATCTGATGTGTCTATTTGAGAATCTGAAAGCATCAAAAAAATCGTCAGGAAGAAAAGCTATCAAATTCAACCAATTGTCACAGTACCTAATTGAAATAGGAAGCATGCTACGTGATGCCACTCCAAAAAGTGAATGCACTCCAAATAACGAGATGAAATTGACATAAAAAAAATACGCGTTTTAGGTTTAACATTAAGACCTACTATCGTCATGTGACGATTCCTACAAATGACAAATGCTTGCATCTTGCTTGGAAGCAATGAAAACTGTCGACGAGGCAACGTAATTTCCGCCTATCGTCATCTGACGAATGTATGAATTTTTCAAATAACGCGTCGTGGACAGTAGGCCTAAATATGAACCGAGAACCACGAACGGATGGTGTAGTAGTCATTTCTTAATGGTAAAGATATGTTTGTTGTGATAAGAACCATTCAAAGTACTCCTTTGGATTACTTTCAAAGTAGAATAATGAGCTTCGCGTTGACAAGCGACTTCAATCGAAACAACTAGTTTTTTCCTCTTTCGGTAGTTGAATATTATCGAACTAAATCCAGTGCATCTGTATCATGTGCAGTCATGAGCCAAGACCAGAACAATCAAAACACCTCAAGGACTCAGACAATATGAAAAATATTAGAGGGTGCTTAGCGTGTTATTAGCAGAAATGCTGTTCTGAAATTACTGTCATAATATAGGCTAGACATGATCAAAGTCTACCTAATTTATCACTGATGGTCGTGATGTAAATAAAGCAAAGAGTTACTTTGCGATATAACAGAAAAAAGAGTGAACTTAATAACTGATTCCAAGATGGCCATAAACTGATTTCTTAAACAGCAGTGTTAGCTTTCGAAGACTAACTTCACAATGTGCGTATCGAAGAAATAAAATAATAAAAATCTTCATATCAGTCCGATCAATTAAGGAGGAAATATGGTAACCTACTCGGAAAGTGTCCCAAAAGTTTGGAAAATTGGCAATTTTGTAGAACTTGGTGTGCTCTTTACGATTTCTATTTTGCAAGGTGCAAAATAGAATCCGTGCGCCGCTCGTGCCGTGAATTTGGAAAAATGGCGGCAAAAACAGGTTTTTTACCATCTCTTTTACTGTGCATTTTTCGTGAAAAACGGTTACTACAAAATTAAACTACTCACAATTTATGTCTAGACAGCTTTTGTGTAATTTATGTACCTCGTTTTGGAGGAAGAGCACCGCAAAGTACATTTATTGAGTAATTATTGCGTTTTAGGCTTACTCACGTAATTGTTACTTGAGTAAGCCGGAATTAGATTAGAATTTTTATGAGTATTTAAATAGAACAATTAATTTCCACACCACGAGAAAATAAATGACGCGGTGGGGAATTTTTTTTCCAAAATACTCATAAAAATATACTTTACAATGCTCTGGCGCCAAAAAAGCTGTCTAGACATGAAGATTACAAAAAAGCTGTCTAGACATAATTTGTAGAAAATAGTGAATTTAGTTTTGTAGTTAACATTTTTTTCGTAAAATTAGTCACAGTAAAAGACATATTGTAAAAAACTGTTTTTGGCCGCCATTTTTCCAAGATGGGGGCGCGAGCGGCGCACGCACAAAAGTGCAAAATCAAAATCGAAAACAACACAGCAAAATCTACAAAATTGGCAATTTTCAAAACTCCTGGGCAGAACTACCAAATAATTAAACTAGGTAAAAGTTAATTACAAACATTGATAAAAGCTCAACAGGGTGAAATTGGTGCATCACCAGAAAATTTGGTTTTTATTTCCAATTACGTACTTTCCTTAAGCAATCAATTTCTGAACAGTTTAAAGGATTTACGTAGAATAAAGAAATTACATATCTTAATTCAAAATCCTTCACTACTACACTTTTAGTAAAATTTTTGAAAAAATTATTCTTAATCAAATGCAAAGATTTTTTAATAGAAATAAATTGTTACATGCTAACCAGTTTGGTTTTACCAGAGGTCGTTCAACAACTGATGCCGGTGTTGAACTTCTTAATCACGTATATGACGCTTGGGAGGACTCAAGCGATGCTTTGGGCATTTTTTGTGACTTATCCAAGGCGTTCGATTGTGTCCTTCATGATACATTGATCAGGAAGCTATCCCATTATGGAATAAGAGGTAAATCTCTGGATCTTCTTACCTCATACTTGAGTAACAGGATTCAGAGAGTCGAGATAAACGGAAAAGTCTCCGCCGGGTCTGTTGTCAGGATGGGGGTTCCGCAGGGGTCAATTCTCGGCCCTTTTTTGTTTCTTATATATATAAATGACTTACCTTACCTCGTACGGGATAACCACGGGATAGTACTGTTTGCGGATGATACTTCGTTATTATTTAAACTTAAACGTAGACAATTAGTCATTGATAATGTGAACAATGCTCTCTCGGAAATAGTACGCTGGTTTAGTGCCAACAACCTATTACTAAATGGAACTAAAACTAAATGCATTAAATTTACAACACCAAATGTTGGACATGTTAAAACCAGCGTGCTCATTAAGGGTGAGGAGTTGAGCCCTGTAGATTCTGCTGTCTTTTTAGGTATAACCCTAGACGCTAAGCTCCAGTGGGCTCCACATATAGATAAGTTATCGAAAAGGCTCAGTTCTGCAGCATATGCCGTTAAAAAAATTAGAAAGTTAACCGATGTAGATACAGCGCGATTAGTATACTTTAGTTATTTTCATAGTGTCATGTCATATGGTATTCTCCTATGGGGGAATGCTGCTGACATTCAATCTATCTTTGTTCTGCAGAAGAGGGCCATTCGATCAATTTATAATCTTAGTCCGAGGTACTCTCTCAGGGAACTATTTAAAGAAATTAATATAATGACCGTTGCCTCTCAATACATTTATGAAAATGTAGTATATGCTCATAAAAACAAAAATTTATTTAAAAAGCATAGTGATATACATAATATCAACACGAGAAATAAAGACAAATATGTTGTTCCCACTACTAGACTAAAGAAAATAAGTGGTTCGTTTAGATGTCAGAGTATACGCTTTTACAATAAAATTCCCAGCCATATCCAAAATCTGAGTCTAAATAAATTTAAAAATGCCATTAAAGATAAATTTTATAGTAAAGCTTTTTATAAAATTAAAGACTACCTAGATGATAGTCTGGCTTGGGAATAAGCTGCTGTAACGTCCACACGGGTCATGTTGACATGTTTGTAACATATAGTTACATTTCTTGACATTGTTTTTCATACATTGTTCTAACTTGACATTTGCTTTTTCCTTTACAATTGTTAGTGCTAGGACCGTGCGAGACTTTGCCTCACCATTTCTTTTCTAATTACCCATATTCTGACAGTTTGAGTATTTGTGCGACCCACGCAAATGTTCTTTAGGTTGGTATTGTTCGTCGAATCAGTCAGCCTCACCTGTTAATTGAGCCGACTGTAAACCGACACATGCGTACTGCCTTCAGAACGGGTCCGCTCAAACTGTTGTGGTTCTTTCCTCAAAAGGCCACTACAGAAAGAACTTGCACGGTTCTCACACATAATCTTTTATACATATTGTCTGGACTTTAAAAGAGACAGACCTCTGAGTTTGTTTCGGCATTTCTTCTCAGAGTAGTCAGTTAGGAAATGTCGACCTCATCGTTCGCTTGATAAAATTGACGTGTAAAAGTGCTGCCTTGTAGCCTATTTGCAGAAATAAATTCACTTGTTTCACTTGT